TTGCATTGAAATATTGGGTTCCAGTTCACCTGACCATGGAGAGCACTGGAGTCACTGCAACTTTGCAGCTCCCTTCTGTCAGGGATAGACTTGGATTAGTTTAACTGAAATTCAGGCATCAGGATTGACTGCTTTAACTATTCAGGCATCAGGATTGATTGCTTTAACTATTCAGGCATCAGGATTGTCTAGGAGTGGGTTATTGAAAATTAGCTTTGGGGCAGAGAAGCAAAGAACCACTGAATGTTTTTCTGAAGCTGCAGTTTGTGTTAGTAATGACAGATATTTCCCCTCTCCTCTTAGGTGCCTCAATTCTAGTAATTTTTTCTGTATTTTACAGCCATGCAATGAATAGAGAATTTTGCCACCAGTACACTGTGAAAGAGCCTGCACAGTCCATTTGTGTGAGGATAGGATACCCTTGGAGTATAGCTAACGTGAAGCTGCATGCAGAGCAAATCAGAGAGGTGAGAAATCGTTAATTTGGCCATGTAAAAGTCAATGTTAACCCTTTGTGTGCTGGTGTTGCAAACATATATATGAACAGAATAAAAGGCTGGGGTAGATCTCTCAATAAAGAACCCATCTCCTTGGCTTATGTACTAGGAATGCATTCTTTAGATCATTGCTGGGTGGCACCAGACACTACTGTAGGCATCAAATGAAGTTAGGAATTCCACTCATGTTCTAAGTTTCTTTTACAGTGCTGGGAAGTTACATTGCCTGCTTCATCCAGTGACAGCTCTGAGATGTAACCACACCATCAGCCTTCCAGCAGGTGAGCACACAGCTCGTGTCAGAAAGGGAATGAGGACCTGGGCAATGCTTTAAGGACAAAACTGAGAGCTTGTCATATCTGTTTGCATGTTTTGAGGTCTTCTTACAAACTTGCACCTTAAAATATTTCACTGTGTGCTGAATTAAATTATTATACCTATAGGACAGTGTGAGGCTTGGGACAAAAATCGTGTTTAAGTGAAATTGTCTTTTTCTGTGGGTTTTTTTTTTGGGGGGGGGTGTTCTTGGTTTTTTTGTTTGCTTGTTTTGTTTTAACTTCTGTTATGATACTGATTGTTTAGAATATTCAGGCCTTGAGATAGAAGACACTCCAGTGCAGTAGATTGTGGTTGACTGATGCTAATTTAGTTCTATTCAATTAGTAGCTTTGACACAGACCTTTCAAGTAATCGTCTTCAATTAAATTAAGCCCTGTGTCAAATGGAAATATTGGGGTTTACTTCCACTTTCTCTTTGCTGTCCACTCAGCCTGTTGGGTATTTGATTGCAGTAAAGTGTTGTCCTGTATAAAATGAAGCCAAAATGAATCCCTGATCTCGCTCAGGGCCTGTAAAGAGCACTGTGACAGAACAACGTTAATCCTCTGACATGGAGGGAGGGGCTGGAGTTTGCTGGGTGGATGTTAAGTGAGGGGACACACTGCAGTCTGACAGATGCCCAGGCCAAGGAGTTTTGGTCAAATTGGTCAGGTGAAATCTGCTGCTCTGTGTCAGGCCCAGCTCCACCAGGCACTCTTAGGCAGTATCTTGAGAATTTATGGGCAGCAGAAACTGCCTCGAAAATAAAGTTTTGTGTAGAGGAAATTTCTCCTTAATGCTGCTGGTGAGGGTGTGCCTGCAGCACTAGCTCTACCACCCTCTACTCTGAAATGCCTTTCCTGTGTCCTGCTGCTTTCCCAGGCACCACTGCTGGGATCAGATGGGATGGAAACAGGAAGGGTGGCTGCAGAATGGAACTCTGACATTCTTTGTGCCAGATTAAAACCAAGTGCTGTTAATTAAAGACACCCTCCTGCCAGGTGTAGATTAGCCCAGGACTGAGCTGCTGAGAGTGTTGGGGGCAATAAAAAGATTTAATTCAAACCTGTCAGGCTTTAAATTCGAGGCATCTTTGCTTTGCCTGCCAATGCCCACAGCAGGGCTGGCAGCAGCTGTGCAGCCTGTGGGCACAGCTCTGCTCTTTGCCAGGAAAGTGCTGCCCAGCCTGGGGGGTGCTGGCAGGGCTGAGCTGGGCTCTCTGCAGAGCCCCCTGCCCCACGAACAGATTGCAGGGCTGGCTGCAGCTCACAGGGAGCCAAGTGCTGAGCTGCTGCAGGCTCACCCTCTTTGCTGATGTGTAATCCTTCCACCACCAACCACAGATGGAATTAATAACTTCATGTGATGTCCTTCACACCTGACTACTAAGCAGGCTTTTTGTTTTTTAATAACATATTGGATAGAAATCACGTGATCTTATGTGATCTAGACACTGTCACACTGAAGATTTACAGTTAAAAATGACAAGAAATATGCTGGACAACTCGGGCACTATTTTAGAAAACTTAGGCACCCATTGTGTGTTCCTAGTGCAATATTAACCAGTTGTTTGCAGTTAGGTGATGTTAACCAATCTCAAGATTTTCACTGCTTGCCAGTCCCTGTTTTCTTATAATGTGCAGGTAATGGTTTCAAAAACAAGTCAGTGCCTGTGAATGCTTCACGTTACAGAAATGGAACTTAACATCCACGGCAATGCAGATCTTGTCTTAACAGTTTGGTTCTGATGTTAGTTTTTTTGCTCTTCTACTGCACACATATAGATCTTTCCCTATTTGGAAGCTAAAAGATGCAGGCAATATTTTTTGCTAGTGGTGCATAATAATTATCAGAAACAGAACTCCAGCTATAGTGTTACAATTTTGTTAGCTGAAGTGTAAGTGTGCTTTGTTGCTTCTTAAAATATATATGCTTGTATATGTATATAAAAATAGTCTCTCTTAATTATTGCAGAAATAGGCAAGTTGCTGTTACTATCAATACTTCATGGATATTGCAGTAACAGCTGAGTTTAGAGCACTGATGGTGGAGAAACAGTCCCACATTGAACCAAAATTACACATATTCTCAGGATACCAGTGTGGAATTGTACTGAACTCGTAGAGTTCCTGGTCCTGCAGTTCCCAGAGAGGACCAGGGTAGGCAATGGAAGGAACTTTATAAAGCCAGGGATTTCTGAGCTGGTTCCACTCTGTAGCTGACTGCTGCAGTAGCCCAGAGTCTGGCACCTGTCACGGGGCAGTTGGCACCTTGCTCGTGGTAGGAGACACAAAATATTGCTGTGCCCTCTCCCTCTTGATCCGTGATGCCACAAAAGCATCTGCCTCATGAGGAAGCTTGCTGCTTGAACATGAGCTGGGATAAGCATTTGCAACCCGAGGGGAATGGATGACAAAACCATCGTGTGTGTGCCAGGGATACAGCTGGTACAGTCTATCAGTCACGTGAATTGTGATTGGCCTGTTGCAATGGAAATAGCCTTTAACAAAAACAAAATGAAAGCTATTTACCTTCTGAATGGATTTTACATACTTGCACAGAAGTGAAAAGAAATAAGAAAGGAAGAGAAAAGAGAATAGGAAAGAAGAGAAAGATTCCCACCAGCTCTTCCCCTCCAAAATTAGCATTGGCATTGGTGAAGTCACACACAAAGGAAAGTCTCACTTTCTTTGTGCTTCTCACAATGACATCAACATGCATGGCTATGAGATGACAGAAAATATCTCACTCACAATGAGTAACAAATCAGAATTTTCTTCAAAGCAAAAAAATGATAACACAAGACCATCATAGGTATATGCTAGCTCTTCCAAAACACCTCTTTGAACTCTGTGTCAGCTGAGATCACTTGGCTGCCGATCTGTCCTTTCTAATACAACAAAGGGGGACATTCTGAAAAGGCTGAACAATGTCTACTATGCAACTTGGCTGGAACATCTGCCAAAAACGAAGCTGGCATTGTTTTCAACATGGTTATCTACTTTCAAATTACTCCATAGAATAAATAGTGATATTCCATGGGTAGAGGTAGATTATGGGGTTTAAAAAATCAGATTGGAGCCCCGTAATTTTGTGTGCTATAGGAGTCTCATAGAACTGAGATATTCCCATAATTAACCACTAGCCATGGGATATTATAATATATTCCATGGTGACTAGTATTCTTTCCATTTCCCTCCCCCCTCCCAGTAGAATTAATATGGTTAATTTTGCTCTGGTTTCACCTATTGCTAACATGAATCAGTACAATTAAAAATAACGATGAGGCAATCACTGTTTAGGCCAAACCAGCCCAGAATGACCAGTCAGACCTTTTCCAGCTGGCCTTTGCTGCTAGAAGGTTGAAAGAGCTGTAACTCACCAACCCATACTTGCAAAAGGAGCGTGTTTTAGAAAATGTGGTTCAAAACTCTTCATAGTTCTAAAGCTAAATTCTAGTGGAATATTATAGAATAGATTGATTTGCATGCCATGGAATAAACATCCTTACATCTAGTCTTGTCTCAGAGTGAGTCATTTTGCATTAGTGTCAAGAATTTGAGCTGTTGTTCTACTTTGCAGTTAATCATCAGAAAGAGACGGGATTGTCTCATGAATATGCATGATGGTATAGTTGTCCCTTCAACTTACTAGGCACCTAGTTTCTGTAATGAGATGTACAATATCTGCCATTTAAAACAGCTGAAAGGTCCCAAATGGGAACAAATGAGAAAGCATCTGGCTGTTTTGAATTCCAGCCCTGTTTTGTCAGAAAGCTCTGTAATTGCTGAGTACTTGGCTCCTACTCTGCTCTATGAAGCATTCAGCTCTCTGGAGCCTCTGAGATGCATTACACAGTCCAGCAACACAGCTGTAGAACTCTCAAAATTCTTCCACTAGATGTAACAGCTTTCCAAAATATCTTGAGACTTGTATGCCCTTAACCAGGACCAAAGTTTGGGCTCCTAGAGCGTGCTCTCATCCTTAGTTTTGCTGATCAGCCTCCACTGTACCATTTGTCCCTGCAACCTAGACTTCACACATATTATTCACTGTGTGATGGTGGGACTAGAATGGATAAATGTGCTACCCATTGCTCTAAGAAAGCAGTCTGGCTGAATCTCAAATCGCTACGCGGGATGGAGGTTAACGGTCAGATGGACATTCCTCTAAGAGGTTTCCTACCTGCTCTGTTAATTTCTAAAATTTCTTCTTGGGCCAGTGGGCAAGTGTCGCTCTGAGTACTGTGGTGTGGAGAGTTTACGACAGATTTACAATAATTGGGGGATCCCAGCTGGGGTGGCCTCGGGATATGCTTCTTTTTTTTCTTTGGTAGCTTCTGCTTAGCCATAGCTAAGGAGTAATACATTCCGAAATTGTTCACAATGACAGGGACAGGCATGGCAATGGTCAGCACACCAGCGAGAGCACAGAGGGCCCCCACCAGCATGCCTGACCAAGTCTGAGGATACATGTCTCCGTAGCCCAGGGTCGTCATGGTGACAACAGCCCACCAAAAGCCGATGGGGATATTTTTAAAGTGTGTGTGTTCACTGGCACTAGGGTCATTTGGTTTAGCACCTATTCTCTCGGCATAATAGATCATCGTGGCAAAGATTAAGACGCCCAGTGCCAAAAATATGATGAGCAGCAAGAATTCGTTTGTGCTGGCACGCAGGGTGTGTCCCAAGACCCGCAACCCCACGAAGTGGCGGGTCAGCTTGAAAATGCGCAGGATTCGCACGAAACGGACGACGCGGAGGAAGCCCAGGACATCCTTAGCAGCTTTGGAAGACAGGCCACTGAGTCCAACCTCTAGGTAGAAAGGCAGTATGGCCACAAAGTCAATGATGTTCAAAGAGTTTTTGATAAATTCCACCTTGTTTGGGCAGAAGGTGACTCTCATCAGGAACTCGAAGGTAAACCAGACCACGCAGACGCCTTCGATGTAGGTGAGGAAAGCTTCGGTCTCTGCTTCCCTGTAGTGCCGCACCTGCGTGTCGTTCCCCACAAACTCCGTCTCTGTCTTGTTCACTATGGGGTTAAACCTCTCGTGGGTCTCCAGGCAGAAGGTGGTAATGGAGACCAAAATGAAGAACAGGGAGGCAAATGCCACATACTGCGGAAAGAAAGACATGAGAGAAATGTTAAAGAGCAGGTTAAGTATGGGGGCTTTGATTCTGAAACATCAGGGACAGGCAAGAGCTGTATGAAATGTAACCAGAATGCCAAGCCTTCTTCCTGTGGGCTTAGGATGCCAAGTCTCACCTGCAGCCTAATATTCAGCCTGGGAGGGAAAGCAGTATGTAAGTACATGCTAAAATCCATTCTTATAAAGATAGCACTTTAGTGTGGGTGTAAATTTAAGCAAGTACTTAAATCTCAGGACTTTCTGTGGGATTGAAGGTTAAGGACATATTGAAATCCTGAACTTGGTCTTCTGTTCCTTCTGTGCCTTAAAGAGAGAGCACACCTTCCAGGACAGCTGCCAGGCAGGCAGTGCTGCTCTCAGCATTCTGTCAGCAGCATCGTGGCTGCTCCCAGCTCAGTGAGAGCTGTGATATTGCAGATCTCAGAAAGGTGCCAGTAAATACCAGTGCCAGGCTCAGGTGGGCTCTACAGCGAGGAGCAGAGTCCTCTTACAAGTGTAAGACTTGTACCAGAATTAGATGAATTTTTTTAAGGTATGTTGGATTACAATTACAGTCTGGCCTTGAATGTTTCCAGGGATGGGGCATCCACCACTTCTCTGGGAAATCTGCCTGTGTTCCACCACCTTCATTGTAAAAAATCTCTTCTAGTATGAATCTTCCCTTGTTTAGTTTAAAACCATTATTCTGGGTCCTGTCACAACAGGACTTACTAAAAAGTCAGTCTGCATCTTTCTTATGAGCTCCTTTTAAATATGGACTGGAGACCCTGTTGACAGCAATAAGGTCTCCCTGGAGAAGTCTATTCTCCAAGCTGATCAACACCCGATTTCTCAGCTTTTCTCAGTCTTTCCTCAGCCTAAAGGAGATCTCTTGGTTGCATTCCATGACAATTGAAGGGTACAGTCAGGCCAAAATGCACAAGTCTTGTAACTACAGCTGTCCTGCTCAATCCTCCTTTTATCACTGAAGTAATTTGAATATATCTAAGTCTCTCTGTGGGTTGGAGTAGCACAGTCATGGTAATACCCCTTGCCATTCCAATTACAATTCTGACCAGGCATTAAGTTTTCTGCAGGTACAGGTCGGCAGTGCTATCTAGAGAAGATCACACCCCTGATCTCTCTCTCCTGTGCTCACACCTTGGCTTCAGAGGTAATTGAGAGCTTTTAGTCCCCACTTCAGCAGAGAGGAAGCATCTCCTAAATGAGTGTGAAGTGTCTGCTTCCTCCTATCTGGATTTAACAGCATCCTTTCCCAGGGCTGGGCATGTTTTTGTAGCCTTTGTGGCTTTGAAAGCATGAGTCTGCTTTCAAGAGTTCATAAAACTATGTCTGAGTAATGGTATTGACAGGAAGAATCCCAGTATTTTTCTCCAATCTAACTTTTTTCCTATTTAAGTGCAGAAATGCCTGAAAGTCAGGCTTGACAATTTGTTCACTGGCATCCATTTCTGATAGATTTCTCACCTGCAGCTTCTTGGAACACAGGAATTTAGCAGCTTACTGCAAGTACCACTGGCATAGATTTATGTTTGTGATCCCCAGCTGATATTGCTCTTACCTCTTCTTTCTTCTGGGTATTTTTCTTTGTTAATTATCTGAGATTTAGCAAACTGTAAGCATGATCTAATAGCACAAAAATTGGTGAGTAGGCTTTTCTAGGCAGACCAGCATTAATTTTTGCCAGAGATGTAAAAAAAAAAAGAGTTCTCTCTGGGCCACCATCAGAGGCCCCTGTGCCTAAAGGATAACTTGTCAAATCCAGAGAGGAGCAATGCTGATCAAATCTGGTGAGCACTATGGGATTTACACATGTTCTATTGTCTTTGAAAATAAGTCTGTCTCTTTTTATTTCACTAATAATGGTCTGAAGGCTAATCAAACCAATGGATTGCTCTTGTATAATTTAGTGGTTCTTCATCTTCTTTCTCCTTACATTTTATAGCAGTTTCTCTTCTTCCTAGGATCTGAATGGGCTGAGGGAAAGGAGTGAGGATTTAAAGAAGTGATGTCACATGCTGTTGAGTTACATAATGGCATTTCAAATTTTCTATAATTAAGGAATATACCTAGGTGAAGTGTTTGAAGTGATCCAAACTCTTTTATTTGCTTTGACATGTGAATGATTTCTATTTCACTAGAAATGCTCCTGCTATCACTTTTTTTTCCCTGGCTCTAATACCAACAAAGAAAAATCTCAGATTGTCCAAAACTGCAAAAGCCACAAGCGAAGGCAAAGAGGAGATTTAACAGGGGGGGATTTGGATTAAAATGTAAGTTACATTAGAATGTTTTCATTCTGGAAAGAGAAGAAATTACACTCCTGCATAATTCCTCTTGATACCAGCTATATTTTAATGAGTTTATTTTGAAATAGTCTAAAAGGTGTCATGCCCCTAAGCAGAGAGTTTCATAGCCTAATTTATATTGCCTCTGATTAAATCCATCAATCAATCAATCAATCAATCAATCAATCGTCTGTCTGTCTGTCTTCCTCCCTGCCTTGTGTCTAACCCAGCCATTTTTGTCAGTGCAGTGGCAATATGAAGTACCAATTAATAACAGTGGTGTTTCACATCAACTTTGCATGGCTGTAAAAGGAGCAAGATAATGGAATCAGATGTAGCCACTCATGAATACTTTGCCAACATTTTCCCACTCAGCATGGAAGAAAACAAAAGTCCACCAGCCCTAAAAACCCAAATAAACCTTCCAATACATGAGGGTTTAGGGGCCAGACTTAGACAAAAGCACTGAGTATTGGACCAGACAGGATTAAATACACAGGTTTTACTCTTTACTTCTGGGAGTTGTTTTCTAAAACAGCCTTTATCTTGCATGTCTTAGATAGTTCTGGTCTTGGAGTTAAAAAAAAATTATTTTGGGGTCTACACAAATATACTGGGTAACCTGCTAGAATTCATTGATGTGGTGCTGGAATTCCCAGATTTCAGTGCAGATGGGCAGTGAAGGCTGGTGACAATAGTACCAGGACAGAAATCAAAGGAGTTAGGCTCTTTTCTCCACCACTGACACATTCAAGCATGTGGGCCTGCATCTTTTGCATCGTCCTTTGCCTATTTAAAAAAAAAATAATTGAGATAATGAACTCCTAGGACTTGGAACTGTCTGCCAGTTTTTCTGTAAGTTTTTCTATAAAACACCAATAATTTAAATATACCCAGAGACCTGTGCTAGACCTGCATAAAGCACTGGGGTTTCTATGTACAAGGTATCTCTTCAAGTACCTTACCAGCTTTCCTTTACAGTCCATCAGGTTGAGGTTTGTCTCAAAACAACTGCACTTCCTTGAAAATGCCAACATTTGACCATCTGTGGCTCAAATCTCAAAGCTTTGCCTAGCTTTTGTTTTAATCTGTAAATGGTACTTTAACCACTCTTAATTTAAAATTAATTTAGTTCAGCCCATGTGTCCCCAAATTATTTAACGAGACAAATCTTTTTGCTGCAGCTCATCCAAAGTATGGGTTAAGTGAAAGCTGCTTTAAAATACTTAACTTTATCAACACTTTATTATGTCAAGACTAATTTTCCAACCTTTCTTAGAGATATGGACCCTGATTCAAACAAATGAGTCATTTTTAATGTGCCAGTAATTCTGCTGAATTTTTGAAAGCAATACTGAATGTGTATGACTGATCAGATGACTAAATGTGGGCACATGATACCAACAACCATAGAATGCTGGGGAAGTGAGCAAAACCAGGGACCCTGTAAAGAAGCAACCTCTGCAATATTTCATCAACAATCCTAATGGAAGATGTTTCAAGAGCCTGTGAGCAATGATCATGAAAAGGAAATTATTTGCATGGGAAAAAAATTCAGGTTTTTTTAATGGATGTGGTGTAGGTCTATGAAAAAAATCCAGTTATTTTTGATGGATGTGGTGTAGGTCTATGAGGGCACATGAGGTGTTGGCACCAAGCTGCTCTCTGTGAAGGGAGGGGTGGCTGCTGTGTGCCCCTCAGTGAGGTGATGAGACAATGGACAGAGAAGCTCACATCAGCAAACATGCTGCTTCACTCACAAAATGAACCAAATTCTTGTTTCATCCCGAGACAAATGGAAGAAGGAGCCTTGCAGCCAGACAGAGCTTGCTCTATCTCGGCTAAAGAGTCCACTAGCAGCTCATGGATCAAACGATTATGTAATGCCAAAAAAATACATGACAGCTTGCAAAAAAATCTTGGAATGCTCTGTGGCACGCAGACATGAAACGGCGTGTTAAAAAAAATGTGCAGTCATCTGTGGCAAATATGCTTAAGTTATTCGGTGTTGACATTGCAATAAATAAATGAGAAGCTGCTGTCTGCAGTGTCAGTCCTGGCAGGCAGCTGTGTGACAAAGGTGACAGGACAGGCAGGGCTGCAGTGGGTATGGACCAGGGAGCATGGCCAGCCAGGGGCCACCAGGAAGGGCTGGAATGGCTCTTTGGAGGTGCCAGGAAAGCCTCAGCTTCATCAGGGCACATGAAGCCTTGTGAATTAATGAGAACATCCACATGGAAGAGAAGAGTTTATTGTGCAAAGCTTCCTTGCTGCTCCCTAGTCTGGCAGTGAGAACTGAATGGGAACAGTTTGCTGGGACCAAGGAATGTTTCCTATTGCTCAGCAGTGGTGCAGTGGGAAATTCTAAACATGTTTAGATTCCTGATCCAAAAGGGCCCCAAGGCTCCTGCAGCTGAGCATGGGAGACACAGCAGAAGGAGCTGTGAGTGTGAAAGTAATCCTTCCATCTCTGAGGGACTGCAGAAATCTATGACAGGGACCTTTAAAATTGTCATTTCCCTGTCCCAAAGCACAGTCTGATCATCCCTGAAAGGCAGCTACACTGACTGTTGTTAAGGATCTCTACTGGTGAATATCACAGAAATTCTGCAGGAAATTTAGCCCAGTACTTCACCATATTTTATCTCTATTTTTCCTTTCTAATGCCTAACCTAAATC